AAATCCAGTGAGGAGCAGGGGTGCGGTGGGGACAGTAAGGAAACACTGTATCAACATCCGGGGTCCCAGACTTTTCAACATCTTATCAGAAGATATCAGAAACACTGCTGGAACAAGTGTTGAAGCCTTTAAGAGGAAACTAGACAAGTATCTTCACCAGGTGCCAGATCAACCAGGCTGTGATGGATATGTAGGGCAGCAGGCCTCCAGCAGCAACAGCCTGGTTGACCAGGCGAGCACCAGACGAGTCTGGCCCATGGCAGGGCTCAGAGAGTAGATATACTCTCAAAATTCTTCAAAGGTATATCAAAGGTAAGGTATTACAACACGCATGGCTTACAGAGGAAAAATTCTGTTCCACTTCCCCATGGAGAATACTGGTGTGGTGTGCACAAAAAACATGTGGATAAGATGGAAACAGTCCAAAGCTTTAAAATGACTAGGAGGTAAGAATAGAAGAACTATTTGAATTAGACTGAAAAATACTGTTAGACATTGCCCTTTTTAGCCGACAGGAAAAAATACTGAATGTGATAACAAAACGCAAGGTCATAAAAAGAATATGACAAACTACGTAATGATAACATCACAGAATCATCCAGAAGAGACCACAGTGGTAAACAAAAGAAAACTTAATGTCACAAGGCTATGAATTTTTCTTCAGTGGTGATACGACAATTTAATGTGTGACAAGTGAAGGCCGTCGGGCAAAATCTGTAACTCCGTTGTTTACTGTCCGATTTTCTCCAGTTTTGGTACACAAGACAAAGTCGTTTCACTCTTTCTTGAAAATATTTATCAAAAATATACCTCAAACAACAACTGAGAAATGACTGATTTACTGAAAATGCCATAGTGTTAAACTTTTATCCTATATGGGACTACGTGAGGATGTTTGGACACTTGGTGCCGAGAGAACAATGCTTATTCTTATTTTCTGTGACCACTTTTCTTTAAATGAACGTTTCTTTATTTCACAAAAAAATAAAGTTTGTTAGTTCCTGGAATATTGCAAAAAAATCTGCCCTTTACTCCCACGTAACTCCCAAAGTATTTGGAATATTTCCAAAATTTGTTCACAGAAAATTAGAGAAATCATTATTCTACAACTTTTGTGAGTATTATATTCCATTTAATTCAGTAATAAAGCAAGAAAGTTGAACAATTGTTGAATAAGTTACTTCCGAGATATCGGCCGGGAGCGCCGGCCGGCCCCCGTCTCCAAAAAAAAAAAAAATTTTTCGCGAAAATCGCGTTTGTTTGGGTGTATTTCTTAGTAAACTGATGTTCTAGTGCAGTTAGCCTCTTCAAAACACCATTTTCTCTTACTCGCAGACTAAAGAATACGACCTGGAGAGGAGTAGCTCAATATTTATGGAAATATTCCCGATAATCTTTCGTCATATTATGGCCTATTTTATTCAGTCTAGAGTATATAACATGTTTGTATGTTATTTAGAGTGTTTATTATATCATATTAGATCAATTCTGATAGAAAAATAAGCTGTAGAGTTGATATATAAGCTGATATAAGCGTAATAATGAGTGATTTATCCTGGCGCGACAACCCTTCCGCGCATCTTGATATGATTAATGACTGTTGCTAAATCTAGGGATAAGCTCCGCCTTCAGTTTTATGATGCCAAGTAGTCAGTTATTATATTAGAAAGTATAATGCAAGAAAAAGCGATAAAAAACAAGGAAAAATTTCCAAAATATATATGGGCCGTGAGCAGACTCGGTACCAACATCGCCGTCACCATACCTGATATAAATGGCTATAATTTCTTGTAGAAACGTCGTAGAACATTCATTCTGGTACCATTGTGTTGCCAAAGAGTTGAGCTATTTTTCAGTATATATAACTCAATTTCCATATTTTTTTTATTTTTCGGTGAGCGCGCGCAGAAAATTGCCCTACAGCCCCCTTAAATACAGTGGAATCTCGCTTGTCGAACAATCAGTTTTCAAAACCAATTTGTTCAATTGGTTTTTGTACATGGTCTTGGTTGTCAACCAACAAAACTCGGACCAGATACGAGTCCACAGCATGGGTCTCAGTCAGTATAGCAACTAATGTGAGTGCTGTAAACATTTCTTGAGCTCTTGCTGTGCATCTTGTGAAAGTAATGAAACCAAAAGTATGAAATTCAATGGAAAACTTACGGAATTACGCTATCGCGAAATTAGCAGTCTCAGTGATATTTATGCATCGGCAATTTCGCCCACTTTGAGCTCTATTTTGGGCAAATTCCAGTGTTCCAGTCGACCAAACTCATACCTATTTTGCTAGGACTCCTTTCATTCTATCGTTTGAGTACAAGAAACTGCCCATTTGCCTATTTCAACTACCCAATAAAGTGATCTGAAATTACTAATTTGGCAAATTTCACACAAAATTCAAGAAAGGCCAATTTGAAAAGAGGGTCCAGTATAAATAATGCAGACTTTCCTGGCACTAAAATAACATTTTATATGTTCATCAGTCACATCTCCGGCCCCTCTTGTATATGCATGCTTTTCATTATGAATTTTTATTCACACAAAAAACAGGGGATTTACTGTTATTCAGATTACTGCATAACTGCAATAATTATATAAATATCAGCGCATTCGCGAATGCATACAAGACCCACCAGTTGACGTTTATTGGATGTGTGATGTGATTTGTTTACTCTTGAGCATTGGCAAAAATCAAACATTTCTGCTACTTTGAGCTCAATTTCAAGCTACTTTTAGTCTTTAAACCATTGAAAATCATCTCCATTTCTGTATCACATCTTCCATTCTATCAAATGAGACCAAGAAAACGAGAATACAACCATAAATACCATACAAAAATACGTAAAGTTGCCATTTTAAACCAAAACCACGGTCATTTTTTCTCTCATTATGCACTGCGTACTGCAGGACTTCTTTTATACTGTTCACAATGACCCTACTGATCAATTCTCACACATGTAGGCCTACCAGCTTTCTCCTGCAAGATCTGAAGCTGCAAGAATTTTGCTATTAGCTCTCCTCTGACAGGTAAGAGGCAGCTAAATTTTCATTTACTGTACAATATTTCAGTTAACCCTTTCAGGGTTGGTGCCATACTAGTATGGCCTGCACGCCAGGGTTGGTGCCATACTAGTACGCATAAATTCTAGCGCCTTCAAATCTAGAGAAAGCTAATAGGCCTATATATGAAACAATGGGTCTATATGGTCAGTGTGCACAGTATAAAAGAAATCCTGCAGCACACAGGGCATAATGAGAAAAAAAAAAACAACCATGTTTTTGCTTTAAAACAGCGACTTTGCAGTGTATTTTCATATGCTATTTACGGTTGTAGTCTAGTTTTCCTGGTCTCATTTTATAGAATGGAAGACATATTACGGAAATTGAGACGATTCTGATTGGTTTCACAATGAAAAGTACCTTGAAATTGAGCTCAAAGTAGCAGAAATGTTCAATTTTTGCCAAAGTTCAAAAGTAAACAGATCATGCTATGCGTTCAATACATGTCAACTGGCGAGTCTAATATTCTTTCACAAGTGTGCTGATATTATTTATACCATTTCTACACTAATGCAGTAGTCTGCATAACAGTAAATCTTCTATTTTTTGCGAGAATAAAAATTCAAAGTGGAAAGGAAAAGAAATGTAAGAGAGGCCTGGGGACGTGAGTAATGAACTGAAAATTTTTTATTTTAGTGCCAGGAATGTCTGTCTTGTTTATTCTGGACCCTATTTGGAAATTGGCATCTTTTGAAATTTGTGTGAAATTGGCAAAATTGCCAAATTCTGACCATTTTATTGGATAGTTGAAATCGGTAAATGGGTGGTTTCTGGTATTCATTCGATAGAAAAAAATGGAGTTCTAGCAAAATACGTAGTTATGATTTTTTGCCGACTTGGTATGTTGGAATTGGCTAAAAATAGGGCTCAAAGTGGGCAAAATCACCGATGCATAAACATCGTCGAGACCGCTAACTTCGTGAGAGCATAATTCCATAAGTTTTCCATCAAATTTCATACTTTTGGTGTCATTATGATCGGGAAAAGATTCTCTATCATTTCTTAAGATTTTTTTTTTTTTTTTTCAAAAAATTTCCAACCCTGAGAACAAATTTAGGAGAGGGTCTGCCGACCCTGAAAGGGTTAAATTTTCATTTTGTATTCATTTTTACAGTTTCCGTGTGCTGTATAATTTTATACGTATGTAGTAGTTAGTACATTATTATTAAGAAATTATTATATTGTCATTTTTGGTCTGGAATGGATTAATTCTATTTACATTATTCTCTACAGGAAAAACTGGTTTAGCTCTCGACCATTTTCATTGTCGAACTGACATCTGGAACGAATTAAGTTCAACAACCGAGGTTCCACTGTCCTTAAAAATTAAAAAAAAATAAAATTTCAACTGAAGATTGGGTAGTGCAAGCATGGCTCTGTTAATGTAACCACCAGTGGGTACTCAGAATGAGCCAAACAACACACTACTACTTGAAGTTATTTACCTACAAGTAACTTGAGGTTATTTATCAACAAATAAGTAATAATAATAATAAACCATGAAATAACTGCTTAAGGTTTTAAGTTTATATTAACCATAAAACAACCACTTGAGGTAACAATTTTACAGAGCTTTGGTACAAAACTGTCAGAAGCTGATGTATAAGAACTGCTAGTCATGGCTAAACTTACACAAAGAATAACACATTTATGAAAAACCTGAAGCCACTAAAATATTGAAATATTAACAAAATAAATCTCAGTAAGTCATGTATAAAATACTATCAATACAAATTAAGAGCACTTGCAGTTTAAAATTTAAACAACAAAAAAATGAAGATTCTGTGCAAATAAGGATAATTTAAACAAGTGGGTATACCAGGGATGGTGAGAGAATGATCCTTCCCTCTCAAACTTGCCATCACACACAAGACTGACTTGTGTATCTTGTCAAATTTCCATGGCAGTCTCTCTCATCTCCACTACTGCTAATGGCTTCCACCTGCATGATGTAGCTGTGTTTTACTCTCTCTCACACTGACACACTAGCTCTTACCTTCGTGTTGGGAAATTTAGTCATATCACACATGTGGCACATCAGAGTTGCCCGAGGAATGATGACACTGGTGTCTTCTTGACTCTGAAACAACATAAACATAAGTAGTGGATTAGAGGGCAGTCAAGATAGATACCTTGTAAAGTTGTGAAGACTACAGCAATACAAAATATACAGTACACAGGCAAAAGTCAGATGCATTTACTGTACTGTCACTAGATGATTAGCAAATTAATTCCATAATACTACACACAAAGTATTGCCAGTCAAGAGCTGCATTTGTATGAATTTACACCAAAAAAATGTACAAGCAATATACAGTAATTTCTAACCTGGAAGAGTCAAAAGAGGATTGCTTCTTATTTACATATGTTTATTGCACCATCTATTATGCCTCCCATTCTTAAAACACAAGAACAAATGGCCCCATGCCAGGCAGGTCTATGTCACACCCACCCACACCCCCTCGTACACATCCAACCCATTTTTAAAGCTACACATTACAGGAGACCCCGTTTGTATGCCTCTACATCTTTCCAGAGTGTAAATTCAGTGCCTTCAGCCTAACATTATAGAAAAGATTTCTGATACATATGATCACCATTTATTTATTTATTTATTTATGTCTTTGCAAACAGTACATTGAGATTGTGTATATACAATAGTGGGTTGCAATGCAAAGAGAGCCTCTATTATGCCTTGGCATTATGGGCCAACTTAACATTATTGGCTTACAGTCTACTTAAACTAAGGAGTATATCATAGTTGTACAGTAGGATAGTAGTTATTTCATAGTTGTACAGTAGAATATTAATTATAAATGAATCAAAATTTGTATAATACAAAGATATATTTATATTTGAAAATGCTTTTTGTGAAAACAATGATTCAATTATATTCGTGTCAACAATGGATAAAAGGTTCAAAGTGATTGTTTCAGTTATGATGTGGGAGTAAGTGTGTAATGAGTATTTAGCATTTAGTCTAGGGTGATTAAGTGGCTTTTGAGAAGAGTCTTAAATTGATTTTCAGACTGGGTTACTTTAATATCCTCTGGTAATGAATTCCATATTTTGGGGCCCTTTATGTGCATACAGTTTTTACACAGTGTGATATGGACACGAGGTATATCAAAAAGAGATCTGTGTCTTGTGTTGTGGTCATGTGTCCTGTTAAGGTTGGTGAGGAGAAGTTTGAGTGGAGGGTTTATATTTGCGTGTATTGTTCTGTGTATGTAGTAGACACATGAATAAGTATGGATGTTCTTAATGGTGAGCAGATTCAGACTTCTGAAAATTGGTGGAGTATGCTGGCAGGAGTGGGAATTTGTTATCTTTCTTACTGCTGCCTTTTGCTGGGTTATTAGGGGTTTTAGGTGATTGGATGTTGTTGATCCCCATGCACAAATTCCATATGTAAGATAAGGGTATATGAGTGAATGGTACAGTGACAGGAGAGCTGATTGTGGAACGTAGTACCTTATCTTTGATAGTATGCCTACAGTCTTCGAGATTTTCTTGGTGATTTGTTGTATGTGTGTCCGGAACTTAAGGCTACTGTCAAGATGGATACCTAGGAATTTCCCCTCCGAGAGTCTTGTGACTGATGATCCATTTGGCGTTATGTTAACTGGATCGTTTGCAGCTTTGTTTCCAAACTGAATGAAATAGGTTTTATCAGTGTTCAGGGTAAGTTTGTTAGTCATCATCCAGGCAGATATTTTCTGTAATTCAGCATTGACTGTGTTTGCTAGTATGACTGTGTTTGGGTGGGATTATTATTATTATTATAATCAAAAAGAAGCGCTAAGCCACAAGGGCTATACAGCGCTGCAGGGTAGGGAAGGAAGCAAGGGAATTGGATGGCAGAAGGGAGGGGGGATGATCAGCAGGTTACAGAAAACAACGGGGCAGGGGATAGTACGGGGGTAGAGGGTAGCAAGAGATTCAAGTAGAAAGGGCTGAAAGTATCAGAATTTGTGAAGTAAGTCAGTCGTTGTCAAAAAGTCAATGAGAGAGTCCAGATGAAAGGTGGGTCCATCAGCGAGAAGGGAAGGTAAAGAGAGAGCAGCGGGGCGAAGACGACGACAGAGGTAAATTCTGCGTGCTCGTTGATAAAGTGGGCAGTCCAACAAAATGTGGCTGACTGATAATGGAGCTTGGCAATTCTCACAGAGAGGAGCAAGACGCCTCCCATGAGATATCCATGAGTAAGACGAGTATGGCCAATGCGAAGACGGGAGAGAGTAGTCTCCCAACCTCGACACTGGTGATAAGAAGACGGCCAGTAACCTATACTCGGTTTAATAGACTGAAGTTTGTTCCCGAGCATAGTAGACCAACGTTGTTGCCAACGGGTGTGAAGGTGGGAAGATATTACAGCAAAATAGTCCGTACATGGAATCCCTCTAAAAGAAACTGGTAGGTCATGTACTGGTGACCGTGCAGCAGTGTCTGCCTGTTCATTGCCCTGTACGTCAACATGACCAGGGACCCAACAAAAAACAATATCTTTATGCTTAGTAAAGATGCGGCGTAGCCAAAGTTGGATACGGAGGACTAAGGGTGAGGTGTATCAAATTTTTGTATAGCCTGTAAAGCACTAAGGGAGCCTGAGACAACCACAAATGATGACACAGGCATAGATGCAATACGGATAAGTGCTGTAAGGATGGCATATAATTCAGCAGTAAAAATACTAGCTGAAGATAGTAAATGCCCTTGTACGATGCTGTCGGAAAACACTGCTGCGAATCCTACTCCGTCAGAAGACTTAGAGCCATCTGTGTACACAGCAATGGCATGAGAATGAGAGTGAAAGTGGTCAAGAAAAATGAGAGCGGGAAGCGACCGTAGACAGTTGGGGCTTTCGAGCAAGGGAGGGAGAAAGAACAGACTCGAACAGCTGGAACTTCCCCGGGGGGTAGGGAAAAGTGAGATGTACATGTACATAGAAAGGTGGTAGTTGAAGAGAAGACAAGAGCGAATGAAGGCGAAGAGAGAAGGGACGGAGTAAGCAGGGGCGGCGAACAAATAAAGAATGTCTACTAATATCAGTGACCATTCTATAAATGGAAGGATTGCGGAGATCATGAGAGCGTACATAGTAGCGCAAAACAATGGGCATCACGGCGATCGGATAAGGATGGAACGTTCACTTCTGCATAGAGGCTTTCGACAGGGGAAGAGCGAAAAGCACCAAGGCATAAACGTAATCCTTGGTGATGAATGGGGTTAAGGCTAGAGAGAGTAGCAGGAGATGCCCGCTGAATAGATCTGGTCACCATAATCAAGTTTCGATAAAATAAGGGTGGAATGTAGGTGAAGGAGGGTTCGACGATCAGCTCCCCACGAAAGATGAGCAAGGGTTTTAAGAAGTTCAGCCGGGCTGTGACAAGTTGCCTTCAGAGAGGTAATGTGAGGTTTCCAGGATAACCTACGATCAAAGAGGAGGCCCAGAAACTTGACTGTATCACGTTCAGGGATACGGGAGCCATAGAGGTACAAAGGATGATCGGAGATGACAGAGCGTCTAGTGAAAGTGATTTGGTGGGTTTTAGTGCTGGAAAATTTAAACCCATGTGTGGTGGCCCAATTGGAAACACGGTCGACTGCATGCTGGAGAGAAACTGTAAGGAGGTGACAGTCAGCGCCTGCACAGGCAATAGCGAAGTCATCAACATAGAGTGATGACCAATATTTGATGGAAGACTAGAGGCCAAATCATTAATAGCAAGGAGAAAAGTGTTGTGCTCAGAACACATCCTGGGGGACACCTTCAGCTTGGATAAAGTCCGGGGAGAGCACATTATTAACCCGAACACGGAAATGCCTGTCAGTTAAAAAGTTCTTAAGGAAGGATGGTAGATTGCCTCGAAGGCCTAAGGAGTGGGCTTGGGCTAAAATATTATACCTCCAAGTTGTGTCATATGCCTTCTCAAGGTCAAAAAATATGGCAATAACTGAGTGGTTATTCGCAAAGGCATTACGAACATACGTATCCAAGCGCAGTAAGGGGTCTATGGTAGAACGTCCCTTACGAAAGCCATATTGACGAGTGGAGAGACTGTTGTGTGTCTCTAAATACCACACTAAACGTCTATTTACTAGACGTTCCACTACTTTGCAAACTGCACTGGTAAGAGCAATGGGACGATAGTGGGAGGTTTCATGTCCCGTAGTGCCTGGTTTGCGGAAAGGGAGAACAATGGCGGATTTCCACGCTGTGGAAGAACTCCTTGTGACCAAATAAGATTGTAAAGGCGTAATAGGACTGCAAGGGCTGACTGATGTAAATGTTGTAGCATACGAATATGAATGTCGTCGGGCCAGCTGCCGATGATCGACAAGCTGAGAGTGTTGCCTCCAGTTCTTGAAGTGTAAAAGGCACATTATACTGTTCTTCTCTGAGAGAAGAAAAGTCCAAGGGTGCTAACTCTCTGGCAGACTTTGAGGAAAGAAATGAGGGGCATAGATGGAGTCCCTGAGAAATACGGACCAGATGATTGCCAATTTCATTGGCAACATCTAGTGGGTTTGCTATATCAACACAGGCAACCCGCAGAACAGGAGCCGGGTCAGGAGAATATTTACCACTCAGTTTTTCGTACTTTTTCCAGACTGCACTCATAGAGGAAGCAGAGGTGATGGTGGAGACATAATCTCGCCAGCAAGTGCGTTTAGCGTCACGGATGACACGGTGAGCGATCGCACGCTTCTGTTTAAAATCAAGGAGTCGCTCTGTGGTTCTATTGTACCGGTACCTGCCCCATGCAGCGCGTTTCAAACGTACTGCACGAGCACAAGCAGGAGACCACCAAGGCACGCATTTCTGAGAATGCCTGCCCGAAGTTTGGGGTATAGAATGAGAAGCTGCGGTGGAAAACGGAGGACGAGAAGAGGTGTAAAAGCTCATCGATGGAGGACGAAGAAGGAACCTCTTTAAAAACAGTCAGGTGTGAGTAAAGGTTCCAATTTGCCCGATTAAATTGCCAGCGTGGGTGCGAAGAGGTGGCGAATATGAAGGGAAGTAAGAATGATTGGGAAATGATCACTGTCATGTAAGTCCGGGAGAACAGACCAAGT